TGTGTGTGTGTGTATTGATTACTGAGTTGGTTTGCGTGCAGGTTGGCGTGTGCTACTGTTCTTCTTGTACGTGCCAAGAGGCCAACTGAGGAGGGAAGGAAAAGCAGCATTGCTTTCCACCATATGCCAAATCTGAGCCTGCCTGGGGTGAGGCGGCGTTGGTGGGAGGGGGAGGGGAGAGATACTGGCAAGTGCTCGCAACGGATGAATTCTTGACAGAGGGAGATGAATAATTGAACATGTGCGAGGCAAAGTTCTGTTGGGATGGAGTGGGGTGCTTTTCTACATGGTAAAGGGGAATAGAGACAGTCAGGCTGTTTGCAAGAAAATCTCTCGTTTAGATGGTGCCATGTTTGTTTTCTTGTTAACATGTTGAAAAGTTGCAGAGATTTTCAGATCCAATTAAAGTGATTCGCRAGAAGATGTGGGTGAGGGAGAAAAAAAATCACAGCTCGTTGGGCATCGATGCTCGTCATTGATCACACGATGTTAGCAATGCAACTGCTCTGGAGACTAAAGAGATTAGAAACCATAATTGATTAATACAGAATGTTGTTGGGAAATCAATGCGAGTTATTCCGTAAGTTCAGACATTTATTTAATTGGTATGCCTTCACATTCAAATGTTAATAATTTAGCAGACACAACCAACCTGCAGTAGCTGAAGCTGTTGAACAAACTTGCAGCTTCTTATTTCAAGATCTGAAGTGAAAAGTTTGGCCTCTTATACTTGTGGGTACGTTGTTTACAGACACATGTAACAGCTGATTTAGTCCTAGTGTAGTGAAGTTTTTAGAAGGTTTAAGAGATTAATACATGCTGTATTTGAGGCATTTTTCTGAATGTTCCATTTTACATTAATATATCTGTTTTATTTGTTCTCCTCAACCAGAAAATGATGCCAACTTTCTGCCTTTATAACTTGTCTACTGTGTACTGTATGTTACAGTACAAACTACCTTTTAATAGAGCTTCAGTATTGCTCTGAGACATGTGTCAAACYCAAGGCTCGCGGGCCAAATCTGTCCCTCATTAATATTGTATTCAGCCCAAAAGGCAGTACTTTAAATGTAAAACRGTTTTATGGCTTCTCTTTTTGTCAATGGATTTAGTTCATTTTTTCTCATGATGACAGCTGGACAACTTTCAAGCCAAGAAAAATAAATTAGATTTTTTTTTTTTCAGTAAGCTTTAATTTTGATGTAGAAAGAGCAACAAAGAATCAACTTCAGTTGTATTTTCCCTGTATTCCCTTTATATTTTAAAGTCAAATACTTGGATGCTTAGTGATTTATTTTTATTTTTTACTGATTTGTTGTATTGTAATAAAATATATCTTTAAAAAATATATAGACTCAAAGGTTTTGGTGGAGTAATGTAAAACAAAAGAATGCTAAAGATGTCTTTCTAAATGTATTAATTTTTGTAGCCATTAGAATATGTATGTTTTAAATGCTACATAAAATAATATTTGGAAAATGTAATCTGTATTTCTATTAGAATAATTTGTTTTAAAACATTTTTTTTTCCAATAAACACAGACAGAGATTGGCTTTTGGTTTTATTGGACAAAATTTTGAATTGGCCCTCTTGTGTAAATGTGTCTGATATCCCTGTTGTAAAACACTAAAAAACCCTCAACATTTAGACACGTTTTGTCATCTCCTGTTGGAAAAAAAAAGCTTTATAAAGTTTCTATTGTTTTACCTTTTTAGTTTTAGTTCTTGTTGTATTTTTAAATGTGCGTGCATGTTGTAATAGTATTAAGATGTCACAGAGACTACAGCAAAGGGGAAGTTTGAGGCCAACGCATCAGTTTGCTCTGGGCTTCCTCCCCTCGTTTGTAACAAATTGCTGATTTTGCTTGTRTTGTATGCAAATGTATTTGTGTGGAGTGGAAACCACATGATGAAGAGACCTAGAGGCAGGATGTGAGATAACCAGATGACCTCACAGTCATTTAATCAAATGCAAGATAACTCCAAGACCTCTGGAGGAACTTTAAAGATAGGACTTATCAGGCAAGATGATATTAAAACTGGCTCAGAGGAGGACCGTCAAAACATCATGGGAACTGTGTTTGCATTCAGTCTATGTTCCATCTTGCATAAATAAATTGATGTTAATTAAAATTGGCTGAATTCTAAGATTTATTTGTWAAATCGTATATGCTGTCATTTTGACCTCCACTCTGTAAAACAGGGCATGCATTGTTGTAACACSATGAATTTAGATTACTGCCGAGGTCAGGGCAGTGATGCAGGTGTCTCAGTTGTGGGTGACGACCCATATTTAATTTTTATTGCTGAGCAAAACGTTGCTAAAGACAGAGCTGTTGAACTTCAGTATATCATTACCTCAACATTAAACCCTAAAACCAAATAATTGTTTTATTTCTTAAATATTAAAACCTACAACAACACAGAACACAACTGTGTCTTCTCTCACTGTATATTTGAGAAAAGCTTGTCTCAGGTAAACATGACAAGTTTGAATTGTGTATTATTAGTCACACATTTCAAGTGATGTTGCTGCTAGTCCTCTATAGCAGTTTGGCATACCAACGTGTTCCAGGTGTGTGCCTTGCAGGAGTTATCAGGAAACCTACAAAAAGCACCAATCTAACTAATCWTATCATGGTATGCTGTCCAGTAACTGAGAGGCATTTATATCRAAACCAAAACATCTTGTGTGGCAGAGGTTAGAGAAGGTGAACCTTTTATCAAAGGTTGTTCAACTCATAGGACTAGAAAATATGTGTGGGAAATGCTCATCTGGCCCACTATGGGGCAAGGCCCTTTACCCACCCCCTTATCTCACACTTGTGAGACAGATGTGATGGTAAAAATGCAGAGAAAACATTTCCCCTCTAAGGGATAATAAAGGGTATTAAAAAAACATTATTTGGATCAAGATAGAAAGTAGAAGCAATCCATTTGAGTCTAAAGAAAATAATTTGTGTTGCCAAAAGCTGAACTTGTTATTTACCATTATCATTAAGTTCTTTAAATGAAGTTATTGCTGAGAAAAAGAACCAATGAAACTTTATACAGCCATTTTYTAATGACATTGATATTATTTGTGTAGAAACCGAGTGCTATGAAATATTCTGGCTTTAAAAATAATATAGGAGTTGATGGGAACTTGAGCTGTACAGATTGCTTCTGATCAAATCTCACAAGGCAACTCTAAAGGACATGAGAAGGTCAGCACAAACAAACGTGAGGAGCCTCCACGGCTGCCTTTTCCTCTCTTCTGCCACTGAACTGTGGCGTCTTTGTTCGAACAAATGCCTTCCAGGACGATGAACAGAAGTTTGTGTGGCGTGCATATGAAACAGACCTCAGGTTTTTTTTTTCCTGGGTTTTATTGGAGAAACATAAGAGAGACACAGATATCACATTGAGCGTTTGAAGAAGATGATGAATTCCACCGCTTCAGGCAATGACAAGAAGTAGAAGGGAGAAAACAAACTGTATTCTCCTTAAATGGAGTCGCCTTGATAATCGACAGAGACAAATGCGAATGACTACAAAGCTGTGACAGCAAATCTTCTCCAGCGGTCGCCTTACGTTCCGGTTATGTCACTGTCCCGCTATCGCTTGTGACTTTCCATTAATCCTCAGAAATTGAWCTGTTGTGTCCTCTTGTTTACCTGTGCCTTTGTTATTTTAATGCCACCTTTTCTGAAACCTATTATATTCTAATAATTGTGGTCTCTCTCTTCTCCCCTTCTCTCTCTCCCTCTCTGACAGATACCACCCTGTCCAGCGAGCGTGGTAAGTAGCACCGTCTCACACACTCCCTCGGTTTTAGAGCCATCTGCGTGTGGACTCCGCTAGTAACGGCACAGCGGCTGTTTGCGTTGATGTGGAAGAAGCCACTTTCAGAYGCTAGTCCCAGCGGGGGGGTGCCAAGCCACAAACATCATTTGCATCAACAGGAAGCTGCTTTCCTCTCCATCACATTGTATGTCACAGCAAATGTTGAAACGAGGAGAGGGGAATCAAGCGAAGACAATTATGAAAGCAGCATCCACACACCCATGAGGCCAATCAGAATTGGAATTTAGCATATTTTCTCTGTGTGCGTTTTGCCTCGACCTACTTAGTCAATTTACCCCCTTTTGACTTCGATAGTATTCAATAACAAGCCAAGAGGGAGAATCTATTTTTTTACTTTGTCTCTTTCCAACTCTAAAGCAGCACGTCTCCCGTATGGTCAAAATAAAGGGTAGATGGATTCCCCCTCTGTGGTAGCCTATTATTTAGCTTACAATCTGATTCCTGTCTGTTGTGCTCAGAGAAACACTTTAATCCCTTCATCAAACAGCTGAAAGCGAAAGTCCATCTGCTGTACTGTTTTTGTTTGTCTCGCTAATTTGCATGTGTGTGATTGAGCTTCGTTCAGGTGTCTGCTTTTAGCACAGTGAGAGGACCTGAAGCAGCCACATTGCTTTATGTCTTCTAGCTACACCTAAAGGTAGCATCTCCTTGGGTTGTGACTGATAGTTGCCTCAATTTTGAACATGTTCAAATAAATTGTACGAGAAGTTTTCTTTCATCCCTTTTTTTCTTATTCGAGTCACAGGCATCTCAAATGAGTCATTTTAGTTTKTTGTAAATTCTACAGTGCTAGGGCAACATTTTGCCACCTGCATGGAAGCATTCCTTTAACAGAAAATTGCCAGGAATACAGCCCAAAATGTCCAGGTTTAAAACCATATCTTTGATGAATTGTTAATAATTGTGAAATTAAATTAAACAGTGTTGACTAGTGCTAGTATACCGGTTCGTACCCAATACCATTTTTTAATTTTTTGTTATGATATGAATTTTCTGAATACCAACGTACCGGTTTATATAGCCTGAACACATTCGGAACATTTCATCACGGCCGCCAGTGAACTGTTTCCCGGGGGACACCTTTCCTCGCAGCACCGCTATGCACATTAGCAAGCTAATGTTGGCGTAACTGGCAGCAGGTGGCGATTCCACTGCTTATATTGACTGACATAAAAAAATCCCATTTTCTCCTTTGCTGAATGTTGTAAACATATCAGTGACGTGCAAGGTTAGACTACGCGCAACTTTAAAATGGAGACGTGGAGACGCATGGAGACTTTATTGTGCTTCTATTGTGAAAAGCCCGGGGGAAGTAGTTTTGTAGTAGAGTTGAGTAGACTGGTGTGCAAGGTGAGTCGTCCTGTTAAGCTTCATTAAATAACATAAAACAATAGACCCGATAATAATCTTTTCGCAACCCTCCTCCTTCACTATCGGACCAAAATGCGTGACTACAGTCTCCAACCAGGAGGAGAAGAAAATACATTTGGAGGAGGGACACAGAGACACAGACAGAGGTACATAATTGTACCGTAAAAGAAAAAAGTCAATAAGCAGTGTTTGTACATTTTATTGTCAGCTGACCTGCGATGAAAAGAAAAATACTGTGATATATCATGAAACTGGTGTAAATGTTGAAAATACCGTGATATAAAATTTGGGTCATACCGCCCAGCACTAGTGTTGACCACTTTGAATGTGGCAGCAGTTGGGTATGACGTAGGTCGAGGCGGAGAACAAAATAATGTGTGTGATCATAAAATACAGTTTTGCAGGGTTTGCACACCAAATTATGCCTTGATTTAGATCATTTGATGCTCCAAATTTAGCGACACATCTTGCTGGTTATTTGGTCGCAAATACTCAGTTTTCAGTGAAACTTCAAGAGAAAAATTGGAGTAATTTGTGCCTCTTTTTTGTCATTTTCTTGCAATTTTGAGTTGTCAACTATTCAACAGCCATGGCTCAGTGAGATACTACCCTGAGGGCACATCATCCCCCAAGTGTCGGTGTGACACTGACACAAAAAGTGATCTGGCTGCACTTCCTCTCTGCTCCATGAGCGATGACGGTTCTGAGCGGAACTGCCGAGTCATATAATGGCGTGGGATCATTCAGCTGTATATCCAGATGCTGCATGTCTGGTCTTTGAAACATCAAAGAGGCAGAAGGAAGAGAAGGGTAAAGATCTGGATCAGCTCAGGCGCTTGTGTTTATTTGTGCCTGTGTGTGTGCAAAGGTAACCTCCATTTGCTGACGAAGKAGACAATGATACGCATCACAGTGAAGTTGAGTGATTAATTTTTCATTTCCAAGCTAGCAACAATGTTGGGTTTTTTTTTTCAATCCAGCTAGACTTGAAGAAGGAGCAGGGGATAAAAAGTCAAATAAGGTGGACTTTTTTTAAAATTCTGTTTTCTGTGACTTTGACCTCCAAGTCTTTTTTTCTTCCTCACTTACTTTTCTTTCTTTGCGTAGCTGAACAGTTGCATAAAAAGAATGCTGTTCCACAATAAAAAGTAAAATAAAGGGATAAGTAATGGGATATTAAAACACAGCAAGAGTGTGAGATCAGTGGGTGTTAGGGCAAGGTCTTTTTGGCCTTGTTCCCTTTCTGTAATACATTCATCAGTAGTTCTTCCAGAAGACTGATCATGATTCATCATTCAGGGCTGGTTTTCCTACATGTGTTCAGTTTTAGAAGAATACATGAACATACATGACAGAGTCTACCTGCAGTGATAATGACACATACTTGAGCTTGTTCTTTGTGTCTTGCTGTTAACAAGCTCTGTCTGCACCCTCACTGGGGACCGGGAGTGTCTGATAGGCCTCCTCAATGTGAAGTGGCTGCGGGCGCGTCCTCTCCAAGCTTAATTGGCTGTACCTGAGGCGGGAGGGCAAGGTGTAATTGCGATAAGAGGGGAAAAAAAGCTGTGCTTGGCTGGTTTTAGTGCCCTTATCTATAATCTCCAGATTGATTATAGTTTTTCTGCCAGACGTGCAAATTGTTCAACCCTATCACCAAGACTGGAAACCATCTTAAACACAGAATATGTTCTGATCACCGACTCTCAGCTCTGCTCTGTTGTTTAAGTATTTATTTTCATTTATAGAAACTAAAAATCAGCTTAGCAGCTGTAATTTCTGACAGTTTAATTAATAAGGCCRTACCTTCGAAGTTAAAACTCAATAAGTCAGACTTAGAATGGTACTGAACACACGGGATACAAGCAGTAAAAAGGTAAGTGATTTTGTCCTGATGCATCTCAGTAATCCAGGTAAAAAATCAAAAAGAAAAAAATTGTATAGGTCTTCTGGACGGGTTCTTCTCTAATGAAACGTTTCGTCTCTCCTCCAAGAGACTTCTTCAGTCTGAGAGTTTCAGGCAAAATTCAGGCTTTTAAGCACTGCCTCCCTGTGACTGATACTCACATCACATGGCTATCGTTGACACCTAATTAACACCTATTGTTAACAGGGGGTGGAGTGATACTGGCAATAGCAGTGCTGTAGGAGGGGGACAACTGAAAACGGAGGCCTCCACCTCTGTTTAATGATGGATGGTCTTTCTTCACAAAAATGGCTTCTTTTACTCCTCTCTCAAACCAACGTTCCTCTCTATCAAGAATGAGAACATCCTCATCTCTGAAAGAGTGACCGCTGGCCTCTAAATGAGTGAAAACTGCAGAGTTCTGGCCATTAGACGTAGCTTGTCTGTGTTGGGACATTCTTTTGAACAGTGGCTGCTTTGTTTCCCCGATGTATAACTGGTCGCAGTCCTCCTGGCACTTAACAGCATATACAACATTGCTCTGTTTGTGCTGGGGCACCGGATCTTTGGGGTGAACCAGCCTTTGCCGTAATGTGTTTTTGGGGTTTGAAAGCCACTGGGACATTATGTTTAGAAAATAAACGTCTCAATTTCTCCAAAACACCCGCAACATACGGAATAACCACTGGTTTGGGTCTGGGTTTGGGGTCTTCATTTTCACCTGAAGGTTGCATGGAATCCTGTCTGTGTTTCCTGTCTGCTTTCAGGAAAGCCCAGTCAGGATAACCACACTGCTCCAGGGCCTGTCGTGTGTGTGATTTCTTTCTGCCTGGCTCCTGGGTTTGTAGGGACACTGTCTGCTCTGTGGTACAGAGTCCTGATCACTCCTAACTTGTGTTCCAGTGGGTGGTGGGAGTCAAAACGCAAATATTGGTCTGTGTGGGTGGGCTTACGATACACGCCAGTTTCCAACCGTCCTCCATCCGAAACCGAGACATCGCAATCCAGGAACGCCAACCTGCCATTTTTTACATCCTCTCGTGTGAACTTTATATATTCATCCACAGAGCTGATGATGTWAGTGATTTTATTTACAGGTGTTATGGTCATCTATCTTGAAAAAAGGGAAGAGTCCAAGATGAGTCCAGTGAAACTGATAATTGTTGTTGTGAAGTTTAGTTGGTAAACGATTTCTTACAGCGATTGAAGAACCAAGGTGCTCCAGAAAAGTTGTTTGGAACCAAAAGGTGAGAGGCAAAAATCTTCAGGCAGAGTGGCCAGTGAGAACATCAAGAGTGAGCTTTCTTAGTGGTAGTTCCTGTGGCAGGTGATCAACCTGAGCAGTCCTGGTGTGAGTGGAAACGTCCTGATGAAAAACAMCTTGAAGAGGAGTAAACAAAAGGGTAAGTATACYTTTTAACGTTAACAATAACTTTAACTGTAATCTTTAGCTGTAGCTGTAGCTGTAACTTAAGCAGGCTTCTGAACACTACCCAAAACAGAGTGATGAATCAGCGAAGATCAGGAGTCCAGATGGAGCTTATAAAGACCAGGAGCTAATTAGAGTGAAGTGCCAACAGGTGTGGTGCTCATGAAATAGGAGGGGAGGGTATGAAAATCCACCATCTTCACAGGTGTTTTTACTGGTGTATTCTTGCTT